GAGGTGTACCCCTTGTTCCTGGACCAGGAGCGCCTGTCGCAGCCTCGCCAGACCCAGATGCAGGAGTGAGGTTCCCGCCCCCGCCCAGCCCCCCGCCACCAAAGTCTCTGTCCTTCGCCCGCCCCAACGATAGAGCTTCCTTCCTGTCACAGGATGGTGTTTTTGGTCCCACCTCTCCAAAAACGACGCAATAAGAGGAGTGGTGCTTGGTCAAGGGTTCCCAACAAATCCCGTCAGCAAATAACAAGTTCAATTCACCGTCAAAAATGAGAAAAGAATTCTCCTTTTTTAGAGGTTTTCGGAAGGGAGCAGGGGGTGAGGGGATTCTATAGCGTAACATCTCCGGGTTTTCGTAGGTTTCAAACAGATTTTCTCCCAGTTCAGTATCATAGGCTAATTTATTGCAAAGCATGTCCCATGGGCGCGGACTTTTATTTTAAAAAAAAAATCCATTTCCACATTCCCAATCTCTCTTTGTTCTGGCTTCGAACAGTTCCACAGATTTTGCAGTCCCTATATAGGGAGCGTGGATCTGCCTTGTGCTTAACAGTTCGGCTGGAGCTGTGGGCTCGGAGGCAAAGCGATAGTTTGAAGCTGGTTTGAATGTGACATTGCACCGAAAAAGCAGGACCCAGTGTTTGGCATCTTCCTTTCGACCCATGGAAAGCCACACTCTTTTCCCGTGCAGTGCACATCCGTCTGCTTACTTAAGCCATCAGTGCAAGTAAGAAAAGACTGTATGGTTGCTTAAAACTTTAAGCCTCCATAAGCCACCTCTGTAAGCTATATCATTGTGTCCCACTTTCAATGAAAGGTAAAGTCTCTTGGAGATTAGTTTATTTGCTTTTTATAGGAATGAGTAGAAATGAACTCCAAGGGGCTGCTCACGGCTTAAGTATTTTAGAAAATGTCAAAGGTGTAAGTTTGATTTTAAGTTTTGCAACCCTTTCAGATATGTATTCTTCCTATCCTAGAACTAGTATTCTGATTCCGCACTTTTTCATTTCTATGTGCCTCTTGTAAACATTGTTTTAAGACAGAAACTAGAGTAAGCTATGTTATAATAACTGTCTAGTATTCCTTACTATAAAAATTAATTCTCAAATTAA